GATCTACAGCATGCAAACAAAGGCTGACTATAAATCACAGCTGACTCTACAAGCATGAAATCAGCTCAGTGAGTTATACATCCTCCACAGATAAGGTGACTAAATAATTGAATTCAACCGCCTGGTGTGTAAACACATACAAGAAATAAGAGCATTTTCTAGAAAAACATCTGAAGGGTTATCGTTTCAGGAGTAACAAGGAACTATTAAAGACAATAACCATTAATAAAAAAATACAAAAATGTCTGATTAAAGGAAGATTAACCACCTTAAAGGTATAGTGGGTATTTGTTTCTCATAAATATACATGGATTAGTGTGCAATTACATGATCCAACAAACTGACCCATTCTCATAAACTTTGTTAAAGATACAAAGAAACGTGTTTGTGGTTTGTAGAAACTCCCAGCATGCATGTTGACTACAGTGGCCAGGAGGGACATTTTCCTTCTGACTCATTTTTAGTCATTTTATGTATGCAGCTACAAACCAGCCACACCTGCACGGATCAGACGCAGGGAAATGTGCATAAACATGCTAATTTATTCCACGTATTGTCCCAGTTACTTATTGCCAGCAGATTAGATATCAGACCCTCCCATCTCCAGACAGCTGACAACAGAAACACTTGCCTAATATTACGCCAGCTAATGTTAGGCTCCAACTCCAAAACAGTTTGATTACATTCCCACATTGTATGAGAGCTGGTTCGATAAACATCAGAGTCCAACAATGTTATGTCCACTTCAAAGAAAGCTTCACCAACATCAGCAAAAAGCACCGAACAGAGCAAACAGCAGCACTAATGACCGTTTAGCATATCCTCAACAGCCGCTTTGACTCCTTGACCAGTAAATGGCCTGTATTTGTATAGTGCTTTACTTCGTCCTTCGACCCCAAAGCACTTTACACTACATTCATTCACACACTGGTGATGGCAGCTACATTGTAGCCACAGCCGCCCTGGCGCACTGACAGAGGCGAGGCTGCCGGACACTGGCACCACCGAGCCCTCTGACCACCACCAGTAGGCAACGGGTGAAGTGTCTCGCCCAAGGACACAACGACCGAGACTGTCAGAGCCGGGGCTCAAACCGGCAACCTTCCGATTACAAGACAAACTGCCAACTCTTGAGCCACGATCCACCAGACTCTTTAGGAGTAAATACAGGCAAACGCTTCTTACTTGGACTTGACATCTGAGGTAAATGGTGGATTGACATCCTTCCACAGATCTTGGCCAATCTGGATCAGGTCCAAACTGTAGTAAAATCACACCGGCTGGCTGTGGCCATTAAGGGGTACAGGGGTACTGTAGCTGCTACAGGACAAGCATGCTATAGGACAACTGTGTGATTTAAGATTATGCACTTGAATTGGTAGGGGGTAAGAAAACAGACCTCAAGTGATCTAATCTGCAATCTGCTAACATCTAGTAATAAAAAATGTACACACTGTAACTTTAAACTAATAATTTTCACATTTAGTCATATCATTATAGGAACTCCTTCCTGGAGGGACATTCAGCACCTTCCTCCACTGCTGACAGTTACTTTAACCAGGCTTGCTAAAATGCCAGTGTTAAAACCTGGTGCGCTGGCACCATCAGACCAATTATGACAGCATCACAGAAAGGCAATGTCAAGTCATAAAAATAAGAACTAAGATTTGGTTCAGACATTATAAGAGAGACGTGCTACTTAAAGTATACAGCTTGAGAGAGAGAGAGTCAGTAATAACACAAACAGTGATAGAAGTAGAACTTTCAGGTTATGTAAACCTTATTTTTTTAGCAAAGTAAGGAAAATATAAAGCAAATTTAGCTGAACTGACTTTTAATTCTAATGATTTAAATTCAAGTTAATTTAGATAATGCTTAAAAACAACTGAGCACATAAAAGTCTGGAGGCTTCCCACAATGCTAACTGGCAAATCCTACTTCTAGAAGGACTTTTTGTCCCATAACATCTTCAAAATATCTTCTCATTTCTTCTGCACAAAGCTGACTGTCAGGTTTGGCTGTGTGGCAGCCAAACTGTGGACCCAGATGCAAGACTTGGATAACAGGAGTAAATATAAAGCAAACCAGTCCTTTAATGCCGATTGTACCAAAAGTACAAATCAGAGAAACCATCAAGAGATAAAAGAATAATGACGAGCACAGACATATACTGACAAGGAAAGAAGACGAGAGGAAAACAGGCAGGAGACACAGAAGTAACAAATCAGGGATAAGGAGACGAGGGAAGTACGATGCACATGAGACAAAATAAAGCAGGAAACAACTTACGCCTAGATAAAGACTCAAATATCCAAACGTCACATGGAAACACCTACGAGGACGAGACTGGAGGAGCAGAATGGGAATTCACAAACCTTTAACCATGTAAAGCCAATAACTAAAGGCACAAATAACAAAAAGCACAGAGGAATATAAAATAAAACAGAACATGAACAGAAGAGCATGCACAAGCGGTGTGATATAAATGACTTTACAAAACCCAAAAGAAATCACAAAACTTAAAAACTGTGGCATTTTGCTGCCATGATTTTTGGTCCGCTTGTCCTTTGAGGTTGAAGGGTCACTGCAAATCAATCCAAAGTTGTTCTGGGTGATTGCTTCTGTCCAGTGACCAAATATTTCTGATCTAATGAGAGCGGTCTCTTCTGGGATTACAAAGTCATAGGGAACAGAGGGACATGCTTGATTAGGATAAAAGTCACCAGATTTCAACCCAGATGAACATCCGTTGAACATTTTGAACTAGCACGTTTGACGAACTTGAAGAATATCCTTTGAGGAATGCTTTTCTATCTCCTCCGATTCGTAGAATCAATACAAAGCATGTGGAAGGTTATATAATGGAGCATGTCATCCTTTTAGAAAGAAGCAGGTCACTCCCCAGAAGTAAACTGCTGTACCCAAGGAAGGAAATTTAGTGGCCATTATGCCATTTATGATTACCACTATATTACTGCTACCATGAATGTACCTTTGTATCAGTACAGGCTGTTGCTTAAGTGATAAAACGTGGGCGTATCCTGCCCATAAAAGGAGCTGCACCTCAGCTCGCTTCACCAAAATCAGCAGAAATGTGTTCTCTGTGCATCGTCCAGCAGCACTGATCAACAACAAGCCGCGTCTGTGCATGAAGGCTCATTATTTGCTCGAGTGACCCTCGGGGCCACGGCGGCGTCCGAGCTATAACGCGCTATGTGAACTAAACACACAATGACATGCAGCTGCAGGGCGAGGGCAGCCATGCTGGGTCAGAGCGAGCTCACGTAGGGATCAGGTTTGCAGATGGTTTGTCAGCAGGCTTTGGATGAATTAGTTCTTGAGATCCGCTCGTTTAACGCGCTGTTTGCTTTGGAGCTTTGCTATCGTCAACAATTTGCAGACGTGAGACGGGCTTTCTCAAAGGGTTTAGCTAAATTAAGGGCGCATTCGTCATGTACGAAACAACAAGCCAGCTCCCAGATCCCCTGATGTGAGTGATTTCCTCACTCGTAATCACGCTAGTTTCAACTGCTGCTGAGAATAAATAGAGGAAATTAGAAAGCTGTTGCAGCTCAGAGCCATTATTCCTTCTAGTAATGAGACAAAAGGCAGCATACATCATAATAAAGACTCTTTGTTATTATATGTTTATTAGAATGTAATTGTTTCTACTTTACGTGCTTAAGATCGTGTTTTGTGCATCAGATGCTGATTTGGAGATTTAGAAATCAATCCTGACGTTAAAGTTACTTGTTCGGTTATTTCTTCCAACATTTGATTTTTGTTACATCGCCGACAGCAACATGTTTGGATTCTCCATCTTTTCTTGCTGTAGGTGGAGTTTATGTTTTTATGGTGCACTGAAATATGGGCCAGCAGCATCCATCGACATCATCGTCAAATTTAATCTAATAAAACGAAATCATATTTTCCCTTTTTAGTAAGCGTGACTTTAAATGTGTCACAGGATAAAAACCTTAACCCTAGCATCTCCTGCCCCCCCATCAGTGGCCTAAAAACCTACTATAGTCAGTGTGTGTTCATGGCTGGGGCTTGCTGAGCCTTGGTGGGACATGGTTATGGAGGGAGGGGTTCACCCTCCCCAACGCTCCCCCGACTGTTGGTCCTGGAGTGCGTGGCTGGATGTTCTGGCATGGTCGCTGGCCCGCTCCCTTGTTTGTCCTTAGCTTTGAGGTATTTCCATACTGTATACCTATATATAGTTTAGTATTTAGCTACGAGCCCGACACAGAACTCACCATATTAGCCAGAGGTCCCTTTACTACGGTTCGGAGCCGCGGACCTTCAGTAACAGTAATAAATCACAGCAATAGTACATTCATGTAGTTGTAAACAGCATGATAATATATTAAGTAATCCAAAGTATTCAGAATACGTTACTCTCATTGAGTAATGTAACGGAATACGTTACAGAATACATTTTGGGACATGTATTCTGTAATCTGTAATGAATACATTTTTAAAGTAACCTTCCCAACACTGTATATATTTATGCCATATATGATATAAATATATTGCCTCTCGCTGTGTGGATGTGCTCCTGTCCTGTCCTGACAAATGTATTTTTGATTCATGTTCCATTTGCTGACATGAAAATGGGATTATTACTGATGCAAATAATCTCCCTTTACTAATTCTCACTAATATTCACATTTTAAATGAAAAAAGAAATGCTGTGAATTAAAATTATACAAATGTTTGTGTCAGTGCTTCTTTTTTTCTGCATTTCGATCTCTGCATTTTAATAAGATAATAATAATAATAATTATTATTATTATTATTCTGACCTCATTAGAAACAATTCCTAGGATGGCCCATATTTTGCTGTATCTACGGGGTGATGGAGACACTTCCGTTGGAGACCTGTCACATTTGTCATCAGTATTTAGTGTTTATGACGTAGCTGCTGCTTGGAAATGTTTCACATTCCCACAGCCACAGACAGTCCTTCATGTTGTTCGTATATACTTTGGAATGTGGATCAATCCGACAGCTTTGATGGGTTATTTCGTTTGTCACATTTCCAGTGTGAACGCACTTCACACCAAAATCCAGACGAGAAGCTTCGACATGAGAAATGATCACTTTTTGTTCCCACTCGAACTCACTGTGGTTTTCCATCTTCCTCTCAATTTATTTTGATCCGTTTCCTGCCTCCTTCACACATCAGTTCCCTCCCTCACCCTCCCCTTTACTTTCACTCCCCTCTTCCTCATTACTCCCCTCTCTCATTCTGTTCACTCATAGCAGTAATGTACCGGCTGCCTGGACTCTTCTCCTCCTCCTCGTCTCCTAACCGGATTGTCCAGCAGGGACTCTGTAGGAGCCTCTGGGGGGAGTGACAGTGCAGAGGACCAGCTGTACCCAGGTGGAGAATCCACATTGAAAACTGGATGTGAAGGTAAGTCTGCTGGTGATGAGACAAAGCCAAAGAAAAGCTCGGTTTGTGCAGAGTATGTTGTAACAGGATAAAGGTTTCTGTTTGTCCTGCAATTAGACTCATTCCAACTTCAGATGATGGATCAAAGTACAGTTATTATGAAGTCATTTGGAGAAGCGGGGTTGCGTTCCCTCCAAATGTTTCATAATTGGCTTTGCTTTGACCTGAAGTGTTTTTCTTGTTATTTCACCCCTTAATCTGCTACGAAGCAGGCGTTTCTCATCATACTCATCATAATGCTCTTCTGGATCTATCTTCTTAACAGCCACAGCGGTGACCGTGGCTCAGGATCTTGCAGCATCTGCGCTCCTGATCAGAACAGCTGGGAGATTTCTCTCCACTGCTTCCTGTCAGGTTCTGATTTTCACAGAAAATAATTTTCCTGATTTTAAACACCAAACGTCTTCAGACCTGCTGCCTCGCGAAACCCCGATATGTTTGCAGTATAGTTATGCTTCCAGCACCCTTTATCTCCACGCGCTGCTCTTTCAGGTGCAGCATCTCTTGATGAATAATTAAGTGGAGTACAGATAGAGTTCATTTCAGCTTCGTGGACACTGACCCCCCTGCGGAGCTCCGATAGCTCCAGCTGCATTTGGATCCTGGGAAAACTGTCTCTATTCAAAAAGATAGCCTTAATCAGAAACACACCTCCGACGTGCACTGACTCTACTGTCCCGTCTGTGCTGCTGACGTACTGAAAAGACTGTAAATTTTAGGATTTAATAAAACACCTCTAAAGTTCTGAGCTGCATTCCCACCTCCAGAATCAATAGCACCCACGGGACACGAGGCGTAGATGTGAATGTCTGCACGAGAAATTTCTCAGTGGAGACACAGAACTCTCCAAGCTTCAGGATTTAAGAGGTCCTTGGCTGGCGTATAACACGTCTGCTGGGTTATTGACTGCCGGGAGTGATTACGGTCCCCTGTGCCACGTTTTTCTGGCAACCTCTCGACTTTCATGACGATCATCTTTCTCACTGCGGCTGCTGCTGCAGGCAGCTCACGAGGAAACAGATCAGGTGTCGTAGCAGATAAGACCGAGTGAGTCTCATGGGTGGATATTTCACCTTTTTTCATATGCAGCTAATTCGGCTTAATCTGTGATATTACACTGTAGTTCCCATTTGATCTAGGAAGAGAACGTCTGCAAATGCAAACATTAACGTTTTGTCAGAATGCAGCTCTGATGTGGAAAATGTGATGAAGTGTAAAACTGTACCTGCTGTGCATGTCTTTGATGGTGAACAGTTCCACCTGCTATCAGTAAGTAAATAGATCAAATGTCAATACAATGGTGTGCATTACAAAACAAAGTGGATTTAGTGATAGTGTTCATAACTTGAGTCATATAAAATTAACCAAAACAAAATAGAGAAACTAGATTCTTCTTCCAGCAACACTAAATTTCTGAACTATGATACAGTGGCCCTGAGGTAACAAAGCCAAACCCAACATTTAAACACAAAACAATAAGATCAAAAAGAGGAATAAAAGTATAAAGTGTCATTTTGTTGCTGTTTTTCTAGTTTTTACAGCCACCGTATTATTCAGACAGCACAAACAGTTTGAAGGACTTAATAAGTTTATACTATATTAGAACTTAGCCATATATGCATGTTTGCCGCTTCAGTGCGGCAAACATGCATCATTTTGTCTGAGGTCAAACACTGAATGCATCTCTGCATACACCCTACACCTCCTATGGGAGCTGAGCATCTATTAATACTAAATAAGACATCCTATCTGAGCACGTGGGGAGCGGTTCCATAACAAGCAATGACATAAGAGAATATTTCTAATTATAAACAAAAAAAGGGCTGTAATGGTTTTATTTTGTTACTTCAGAATCTGAGAAAAGTCAAAGGCTTTTAATTTATAGCCTGGACTTAAATCTACTTAAATGTAATTCTTAAACACAAACACTCTGGAGCCTTTGGTCATATAAGTACAACACATAAATCCTCATACGTATTTCTTTTCTTTACTCTTTTGCTATGAAATTACAGAAGCTTCAGAGTTGAGGATTTTAATATATTTGTAAAATACCTGTTTTATATCCCTTTAAGTGTAAATAAATTTAATTTAACCCCAAGTTTTAACTTAAAAGATTCTCAAATATCTTTTTAGCAGGTGAGTGAAAGACTCTCGGGTGATGCTAGAATATAATATTATAGGTTGTGGATGAAATGTGCGTATCTCTGTGAGTAATTCGCTGGAGAGAAGACCCAGATGCACTGAAGTAGGTTAAACAAACAAAAGAACATGCCTCTAACGGCTGATAGAAAAAAAAAAAAATAAAGATGCACAAAGTCCAGTACGTTAGTGAAACAAAACAGGGGAAAAGGGGAAGGAGTAGCAGGACAAACAACAGAAGGACAAACTGACGAGTGACACGAGCAAGCAAGATCGTATTTACACACACAGGGTGTCATAAAGAAGGGATAAAAGGGAAGCACAAATGTTATTACCCAAATAATACAGGAAGTCAATGAGAAGATAAGGAAGACGTAAAACAAAAGCACACATGGCACTGGAAGGAAACCAGAAACTTCTAAATGAAAAAATAAAATAAAAAATCAGTGGATCGCACAGGGACCTGGACAATCTCCAGCTACTGATTTCCACCATGAGACGATCACTAAACAGCATCCTGCCTGATCCCAATCTCATTCACAAAGTACAGATTATATCACGGCTCTCTGATATATAAAGCTAAGAATATCTTTTCAGACTGTCCTTCAATTAGAAATGGTTATGACAGCAGCCAGAGCCCGTCATAGAGCCTGTCCACTTTACATTAATGCCATTATTTTAAAAAATGACTGCAGTTCACCTAGAGGGCGCTGATGAGACTGAAAGAATTAAATGCTGTCCTAATAAAAAATCCCATATTTACTATTAATTACATATATCAGTACTGAAATAAAAATACACTAATATCATTTTTGATTATTTTCCAGGAACGTTGCCTTTAAAACACAAGTATTAGCTAATCTCAGCTAAACATCTCATACAAAACGCTGTGTGGTGATTAAAGGTGATGTACCAACCAGCTGTTACTTACTCAACAGAAGAAACAAAAAGGGCAGATGCCAAAAAATGGTTCTTGGTGTTTAAACTATGTACATTGTTTCTTTCTCTGTTGTCTAAAATGTCACCCCAACTTCTAGTGACCAAAGAGTTGGTGAAAGAACAGGTGCTCAAAAAATATCATAACATCTGGAAACAAACTACATAACTTATCCTAAAACAGAATTATTACAAAGCTAGCATCTGGAGTTAAATACAGATTACTTTGTACCCAAGTCTCGTTTGGTTTAATTTTCACACGCTAATACTTTCATCGAGTTAGATTACGGCTAAAGGTAACATCAGACAGTAGTAGTCCACAGTAGTTTGTGGAGTGGGGTCTAAACCAGGGGTGTCAAACTCAAATACACAGTGGGCCAAAATTCAAAACTGGAACAAAGTCGCGGGCTAACACTAATATTTATTGAAATATATTTATTCCTCCAGATATAAGAATGAATCTTTTCTTATGGACTCAAACACGTTTTGCTGAAAAACTGAATATGGAACAAGCAAAGCTTAATACGAAACAATATATATATTAGCTGTATAATACCAGTAGGCCAGCTCTAATAGTAATTTGGTATGGCTTCGCAGGCCAAATGTAATTAATCTGCGGGCCAAATTTGGCCTGCGGGCCAGAGTTTGACACCTATGGTCTAAACCAGTGGTTCTTAACCTTGTTGGAGGTACCGAACCCCACCAGTTTCATATGCGCATTCACTGAACCCCTCTTTAGTGAAAAATAAAATATGATTTTTTTCAAATTCAAGACATAGATATGTTTTTTATTGGTGCACAAAATGAGCCGTGCATGTCACGGTGGAGGCTCTGCCGAACCCCTGAGACCGACTCACCGAACCCCTAGGGTTCGATCGAACCCAGGTTAAGAACCACTGGTCTAAACTAAGACACTAATTCAGAAAACAGGTTTGGAGGACTTGTGGTGAATTTCCCGTGGGACTAAATTAAGACTCTATTGAGAAGAAAGGGCAGCAGGCAGCCTCCTTCATGTCAACCACTCTCCTTTGTACACCGTGAATTACATCATTGATCTTCATGATTGCATTTCTCTCCTGCTGGTTTATCGGGCTGTGGTGAATTAAAGCTGTCGTGCACTAAGCTATTCGATGCTCCTCGAGTTTACGATCATATTCCTGCTACGGGCCATAAAATGTGCCAGTCATATAGTTTATATGCAGGGCTTTGGCACATAAATAGCATTTGCAAGGGCAGTAATTTAAAAGTGACTACACGTTGGTGATAGTGATTGTCCCGCTTACATCATGAAAACACTGACAAATGGGGTGATTGTGGCTCTGTGATAATGTGTGTGTCGGTTGAGCAACTACAAATGGTTTGTCACTGAAAGCTCGAGAGATAACGCAGTCCAAATATTGCCTCATGGATGAGGGAAGTAAATAAGGAAAGCAGGCAGATGGAGAAAAACAGGATGGCTGGCGCCCAGGTGAAAAGGTTAAATTGGGGACGGGAAGATAATGACCTGTGGTGGTGGGAGAGTGGAAGGGTCATTGCTGTCAGCCCATCTGCTGTTGTTGTGAACCTGCAGTTTAATTGACTGAGTCC